GTGGAGGAGGGGGAGGAGGAGGAGGAGGAGGAACAGGAGGAACAGGAGGAAGAGGGGGAGGGGGATGGGGAGGAGGAGGAGGAGGAGGTGGAGGAGGAGGAGGAGGAGGAGGAGGAAGAGGAGGGGGAGGGGGAGGGCGAGGAGGAAGAGCGACGGGGAGGGAATGAAGGAGGGCGAGGAGGAAGTGCGAGGGGGAGAGGAGAGATGTAGAAAATGTCGGAGGAGAACGCCTCCCCATACCCAAGCACGGAGGCCGCCCCGTTCCGCCCGGCCAACGCGGTCGAGATCTGGGCGGGCAGGCAGCAGGAGGAGGACAGGCGGCAGGCGGCGGCGGCCGAAGACCTGGCGAGGCGGGCCACTGGGGTTTGCGCCCTGCTGCTGCTCCTCCTTCTCGTTCTCCCCCCCCCCTTCCCGCTCGTCGCTCCCTCCACCCACCCCCGAAGCTGACACCCATGAGTAATCAGAAAATCCATACAGGATGGCGGCCTCATGACTCGCTACCTATTTGCTCAGTTGGGGACTGGTGCGTCTGGAGGGCGGTTCAGGTTTTCCCCACGGACCGTCCCTCTTTAAGGCATACGTGTTCCCCAGGGAGGCCGCTGGTAGGCGTACAAAAATTGTATAACGCAGAGCCATTCAATCCATATAAATTCGACCACTTGAGTTGGCGAAGTTTTTCCCCAGGGTATCAGACACCGAACTATGGCTCGTATGTGCTCTGTCTGTCCTCCTTCTCCTGGTTCTCTTCCTCCTCCTCCTCCTCCTCCCACTATGGAGGAATAGTGACGGGAACCGGAAACCAGGAACTGGGAACCGGGAGCCCGGAGCCGGGAGCCGCTAACCTGGCACCAGGAGTTGGGAATTGGGAGCCGGTAGCCAGGAACGGGGAGTTGGGAACCAGGAGACAGGAACCCAGGACCTGGCACAGGTGTTCGGACATGTGGGAACTGGGAGAAGGGGAGAACGAGGGATAGTGATCTATTTACATATAGAGAGAGAGGGAGGGAGAGAAAGAGAGAGAGAAATAACCAAAGTGAAGAGCTGGACATATATATATATACATATATATACAGAGAGAGAAACCTGAATCTGTGTTCAGCGAGACCCAAACGTACAGTATAGATATAAGTATGTGTGCAACGAATTGCACTTACACATGTAATGCGTATAATCATATGTATGTATAGCGCTGTAGAGAAGGTGGGAGGTAGAGGCACGGAGAGAGAAAGTGCGAAAGGTAGAGATACTGACAGGGTGAGACATGCACCTGTCAATGTTTACCGTGTTAGACAGGCAGGGGATCGCGTATCTACGCAGAGAGTGTTGTATACAGTATAACTAAATGTACGTAAGTACCCGTGCATGTACATCTGGCTTCATGAGTACAGAAATCATTGTAACTATTCGTGTGTGTATATTTTAAGACAAAGGGGGACACCAACCAGGCGTAAGTGCTTATACATGAGTGTGTAACTGTCTGTGTGTATACAGAAAAGATATGCCGATACGTTCATATATATATATATATATTCAATTTCACTGTATGGACGCTTGTAAGCATGTGTGCACATGTTCTCGTACATTCAAACGCATGCGTCTATACATATTTGTATATATTTATATATGGGCACAGCAGGTAAATCACATAATGGTGCACAGATAGGGAGGTATCGGGGGACATCTGTAAGGATCCTTTCTTCTATATATATGTATATATATATATATACATATAGATATTGAGAGAGAGAGAGAGAGAGAGAGAGAACAAGAGACAAACGCGAAGAGAGAGAGAGAGAGTGAAAGAGAGAGAGAGAGAGAGATAGAGAGAGAGAGAGAGAGAGAGAGAAGAAGAGAGAGAGGGAGGAGGGATTGAAAGAAAGAGAGAGAGAGACAGATAGTGAGAGTGAAGCTGAGAGAGGGAGCGCGCCCTATACGATATTATTCATAGTTATTGCATCTGTATCTCTATGTTTATTTTATATGTACATATATATGTCTATGAATATGAACATATATGGGTATATGTGTATGTAAACTTAATATGCATGTGCATATGCATATGCATATGCACATGTATATGCACATGCACATATACATATTTATGTTTTCGTATGGTATCATGTATATGTGCATGCATATGTATATGTATATGCATGTATGTGTATAGGTATGTTCAAATTTGTAGGTATATGTAAATGTCTATGCCTATGTATATGTTTACGCTTAAGCATATGTATATGTGTATGCATGTGTATATGTGTACGTATAGGAAGGCGTGTCTATTTCAGGTGTCTATGTACACGTAGATGTATGTGCATTTGTATATGGCCATGGGGTTATTATTATGTGCATGTTCTTGCTTATGCATGTGTATATGTTTCTGTATACGTAACTGCATATGTGTATGTATTTGTGTATGCATATGTGCATGTAGAGGTATACGTGTAAATGTATGCGTATATGTATACGTCTGTGTATTTGTATAAGTGTGTATATGTATATGTTGTTGTATATGTCTAAGTACAGGTGCATGTATATGTATTTGCATCCGTATATGTGTATGTGTATGTATATGTATATGTCCATGTATACGTGTATATACACATGTGTACATCGGTGTATGCAAATTCATACACAACGTATATCGGTATGTATATATCGATGTCTATGTCCATTCATATGCATACGTACATGTATGTATATGCAGATGTACATGTATATGTATATGTGTTTGTATATGATTATGTCTGGATGCATGCCAATTTTTGCATACCTATATACATTCAAAAAACTATACATTCGTGTGTGAGTTAATACGCAATTATATACATATACACCTATTCCTATTCATTTTCCGTTATAGGGCGGAGGACGCCGAAAAAAAACGCCCCCCACCCCCCTCGGACCCCAGAGAAAGCGCCCCCCCCTTACGATTTGGCGCACCCCGGGTCTCTAGGCGACCTTCCAGACGACCTGGGAGAACCTCACGAGACTCCGAAGACTGCCCCAGGGGGCTTCAGGCGCTCCGGCGCGGTCCGAAACGACCCTAGAAAGTCCCAAACGTTCCACGACGACCCCCAAGAAGCCGTCATTCCCCCAGAGATCGCTCCAAAACGTTTCAAGAGGCCTCCAAGAACACTCCCAAGAAGGCCCCAAGAGGCGCAAATCATTGATTTTTTTTATAGTTTTTGGTGAATTTTGGGGCTCTCTTTTCGGCTTCCCGACGTTCCTAGACGGCGGACTTCTGGGCGTCCAAAGCTGCCTGGGAGGTTCGAAAATCGCCCCACAACCATCCGAAAGGGTCTTCAGGCAGTCCAAGAGTGCCCCAAGACGGCACAACAGGGCTCCAAGGTGCCTTAAGAGAGGCCCATGACGGCCCAAGATGGCCCGAAGACACCCTCCGAAGCATTCCAAATCGTGACCCGGTCGTTCAGGGAGACCGCGGTTGAAGGCAGGATGGCCCGAGGAAGCCCCCAGAGGCCCCCAGAAGACGCCCAAGAGGCCCCCAGAAGGCCGCAATAAAGCTTGAACAACTTTTGTGAGGCCCCCAGAGGCTCTCCAAGAGGGAGCCTCCGCAAAAAGAGCTGAGGAGGATGGGGAGAATGCACAGGGTATGGCGAGAATGAGGAAAAAGAAGCATGGGGGAAGGATGACGAGTAACATTATAATAAAGGCGACGCCGGAAAAGGCAACAAGGAGTTATCGCTAAGGTGTCGGCTTGACTTTTCTGCCATTCCGCCTGCATACCAAACTTCAAGGACCAAGGTGCATGTCGCGCAGCGTTACTGCAGAGAGAGAGAGAGAGAGAGAAAGCGAGAGAAAGAGACACCAACAAAACAATAAGATGGAGAGAGGGACAGAAAGAAGAGAGAGAGAGAGAGAGAGAGAGACTGAGAACCGAGAGCCCAGAATGGAGAACTGCGGGAACCAGGGGTTTGGGAGCCAGGAGCCAGGAGGCAGGAACCGGGAACCAGAAACCAGGATTCGGGAACCGGGAGCCAGGAATCGGGATTTGGGAACCGCAGGAGCCGGGAATGGAAAACACCCGGAACCACGAACCATGAACCCGGCACCGTGAACCAGAAACCATGCAGGAGCCCGGAGCTGGGAACCGGGAGCCGGGAGCCGAGCGGACCGGAACCGGGAACGGGAAACCGGGGACTCGGCGATTGCAAGACCTTGTTTCTTCAGTTGTCTCCTCCACATCCTCCTTCTCCTTCGTCTCTCATCCTCCTCATTTCTCTTCTCACAACAGTTCTTCTTCTCCTGCCCCTCCTCCTCCTCCTCCTCCTCCTCCTCCCTCCTCCTCCTCCTCCTCCTCCTCCTCCTCCTCCTCCTCCTCCTCCTCCTCCTCCTCCTCCTCCTCGTCGTGTGCCTGGAGTCCTCGCCTGCGCGCGACGCGCCGGCTCGCCCGCGCGCTCGGCGCTGGCTCGCCGGAGGTCCCCCGAGGCCCAGGCGCGGAAGTTGCGGGGCCTGGACGAGGAGGCGCTGCTCAGGACGGCGCTGGGCGGGGGGGCGGAGGGGGGGCGCGGAGGGGGACACAGAGGAGGTGGGGAGGGAGGAGAAGGAGAAGGAGGAGGAGGAGGAGGAGGAGGAGGAGGAGGAGGAGGAGGAGGAGGAGGAGGAGGAGGAGGAGGAGGAGGAGGAGGAGGGAGGAGGGAGGAGGAGGAGGAGGAGGGTGACCACGGCTGGGGCTACGATGACCTGCAGCCTCGACGGCCTGCAGCAGCCGCGCGTGACCAGCGCGCAGCAGCGCTCGAAGTGCACAAACCCCAGCATGTCGATCCAGGGGTGGACGCCGCACGTGAGCGCGATGCCGTCGTAGCTGCAGATCCAGCCCCCCCCCCCTCGCCAGGCCTCCCAGCGGAGCCGAGTGCGCCGAGCCCGAGTGGGGACCTCCGCCTCCGCGACCCATCTGTTGTAGAGAAGACGGGGCGGGGGCTGGGCTGCATGTCGCGAGCAGTGAAGCCAGCTGTATTTTTTTCAGCGGAGCCCGACCTGCTCGCGTCAGATGCCCTTCCGTCCAGCATTTTCCTGCCAATGAGTCTAATTAACGATGGAACGGGGCCATCAAGCGGCAGGCGGGCTCCCGCCCGGCAGCAGCAGGCCATTTTTTCTTGCATCGCGCCGACAGCAGTGAGGGAGCTGGCGGGGGTGGAGTGAGAGTGGGGTAGTGGTGGGGGGGAGAGTTCATTCAGCGGACTGGGGCCCGCCTCCGCGGGGAGGCATTGCAGGCCGCCTGCGTTCAAGTGCCCGCGCGCCAAGGCAGGGTCTCCTTGCTAACGGCGCAGCGGCCCCCCGCCGCAAGGGTAGGGGGCCGCGCGCGCCGGTCAGGCCTCGATTGCCAGGGTCGAGGGCCAGCTTCCATATCGATACCCAGGCGTCAACCCTCAATTGTTCCAAGCTGAGGCACAGACCCCCAAGGGCATCATCTTTATCCTTATCCTTATCCTCGTCGTCCTCCTCCCCCTCCTCCTCCTCCTCCTCCTCCTCCGCCTCCTCCTCCTCCTCCTCCTCCTCCTCTTCCTCTTCATCCTCATCCTCATCCTCCTCCTGCGCCCTCCCTCCCTCCTTCCCTCTCTCTTTCCTTCCCTCTCCCCCTCCCTCCCTCGTCCTCCCTCCCCCTTTTGGGCTGAAGCAGAGCTTTCTTTCCAGTTGCAGGGTTTGCGCGCAGCTCCAGAACCTGGGGGGCTTCTGAGAAGTTCGGCCGCCTTCGGAGAAAGTCTTCCCCTCTCATTCCCCCCCTGGGCCCGCCGCCGCTGGACGCCGCGGAAAACGCGGCGATGCAGAAGCGCACGGTGTTCAGGGTTGGCAGGAAAATCAAAGTGCTCGTGGGTAGGTTGGCCAGCGCGGCGTGATCGAACACATGTCGCCGCGGTGTTTGTTCCGACGCGCGGCCTTGCGTCTTGGGGAGGGCGCCCCGGCCGTCAGGGCAAGCTCCGCCTCAGACGCAAGGCTTGCCGTGGGTTTGCCGTGGTGTCGGCGTCGTCCACGTGGGCGCGTCGAGGACAAACGGCGCGGCGACATGTCGTTGAGATCGGCCACGAACCGGACTGGTTCTGCCATTTAGGCCGGCCAGGTGAAGAAAGCTACATCTATTCAGCGGCCGTCGGCCAATCCCGTCACCGTACCTGGGTTGTGGGCCACAACGCCTCCAGGATGTTCGTTGGGATGTCGTGGGAGGTTTCCCGGGGGCTTCTGGGGGCTGTTTTGAAGCCTCTTTGGGGGACGCATTGGGGCCTCTTGGGGCGTTTTGGGGGTCTCTTGGGGGCCTCTTGGGGCCTCCTGGGTGCCTTTCGGGGCCCCTTTGGGACCTTCTGAGGGCTTTTGGGGCGGAAGATCTGGATTTTCGGTTTATGTTCCCCCTCTTGGGGCTGACTTTTGGGCCCTCTTGGGCCGTCTTGGGCGCCTCTGGGGCCGCTTTGGGGCAGTGTTGAAGCCTCTTGGGTCGTCTCCGAGCGTCAGAAGCTTGAAAAATGGAGGGCCCCCCAAACATATCAGAACTGTTGGCCTCTCGGGGATGGGAAGGCTTTCGGGGCTCTCGTGGGGCGCCTCGACAGTTTTTTGGGGCCGTCCGGGGCCATCTTTGGGCGTTTTGGGCCGATCGTGTACCGATTCGGGGGCACTGGGCGATCTCCTGAGGGGTCTCGTGGCCCACTGTGGGCTTCTCGTGGCCACAACATTCGGGGGAGCCTGGGGGGGCACGCGGGAAGCCCCGGGAGATCTGGCCACGTGGGGTCCAGGCCTCCAACTCCTCCTGCTCCTCCTCCTCCTCCTCCTCCTCCTCCTCCTCCTCCTCCTCCCTTCTCCTCCTCCCTTCTCCTCCCTTCTCCTCCCTTCTCTTCTTCTCCTCCTCCTGGGGATCTCGATCCCCCGGATCGAGAACTTAGGGCGAGGGGGCCGAAGAAAGAAGGGACCTGGGGACATTCCACATCGCGCCAAGATGGGATTGCGCAGGACGGCAGGGGATCGGATTCGTTCGTTCTGCTTGCGTTGTGTGGCGCGCACGTGTCGGAGACGAACTGCAGGGTGCTGCCAGACACGCGTAGCGTGAGTTATTGCGTTTGTTGTCGAGCGAGTTTCTGCCCTCTTGTTCGTTTCACCGCCCCTGGCCTCTCGGCTCTTTGGGCGTTCTCCATCGCTCGCTGCGTCGTCGATTCTCGGCTTGCTGTCGTCACACGCGTGCCAGTGAATTGTACCGTTCGTCTTAGCCAGATTCTACCTAGTCGCCAGCCCAGAACCCAGAACCTTCCTCACCGTGGTGACAAAAAGGTCCTCTTCGAGGGTTTTTGGGCTGTCTCTCTCTCTCTCTCTCTCCGTCCTCCGTAGTGGCGTGCAATCCTCTTCCTCATCCTTCTCCTCCCCATGCTCCTCCTTGGCCCTCGTGCAGCCGCAAACTAGTGAAGGTTCTTGCATCAGGGATCTGGTGCCCTCTTGTGTTTTTTGTTGGCCCTCTTGTGGGGCCCACCTCGGCTTTTACTTCCTAGCGGGCGGCACCCGCCTGGCAGTTGCGAGCGTGACTCGCGTCTTCGACGGCGACCGAATTGGACTTCCTATTCCTCTCCGAAGGATCAGCCCTGGACCTCCTGCGGCGCGCGCGCGCCCGCCCGTCGGGCTGGGCCCCGAGCGCGACCCAGTCGGCCGCGCGCAGCGTGGAGTGCTTCATGTTCTGAGCGTGTCTCCCCCCTGGTGCCTCCCTCCGCGGCCGCCCTCGTTTTTTGCTCCTGCTGCGCAGGTGCGCCATGCGTCAGCACGCGTCCCGTGTTAGTTCGGCCGCGCTGTGCCCCCGCATCTCGACGGCCACATCGCTGCGACCAAGCACGGGAAAGTTTGGACCGAAATGGCCGCGGGCAGATCCTGAACGCAGGCTGCCGCGGGCGACTGTGGCACGTCCTCGAGTGGCCGCCTCCTTGTGCGCGCTTCACGTCGTTCCCGCCAGGGCGGCAGAGGAGGACACGCCCGCCGCCCGTCTAGTGCATGTGCTTAGTATCACTTGCGTAATTGCTCATTTCTGGAATGGCCACGTGGCTCCGTGAGCACTTAACGCCGTCAGCACATTTGCTCCACGGGCTTCTCTGCACTTCACAGTGCAAGGGATGTCCACCAGGAGGCGCACAAACGCTCTGGGAACGCATGTTGATCGAGACCAGCGGGCTTCCGTGGCCCCCGATCCGCACGGAGGGCGGGCTGCGCAGCCCGGGCGCCTGCCAGAGCAGCTGAGCACCTGCATGGTGGACGCGCGCAAGCTTTGCGGGTTCAATCCTTCGGCGGGGGGCCAGATCGTGTCTTCATGCCCCATGTGCTTTCGCTTTCAAGCTTGTGTTTCGCAGCCCAGCGCACGCCTGGCCTCATCTTCCTCCCTTTCCCGCCCCCCTCCCCAAGAGGAATAATCCGCACAATGAGCACTTCGATGGCCTGACAGAGGGCGGCCGGAACTTCGCAGCCAACTCCAGGCACTCAGTGCACCCTGGGGGGTCCCAAGGGCACAGGTCTCGAAGGGTGGAGGTGTGTGGCGAGGTGGAGCCCTGGTGAAGACCTGGTGGAGGGTCGGGTTCGGTTCCAGGCTACAAATTTTCGAGGTCCCAGAGGGCGGGGATGTCGGGCGAGGTGGAGACGTGGTGAAGACTCGGGTGAGGATCGGGGTCGGTTCCGGGCCAAGAATTGCCGGCTAGGGGGTTCTCAAGGACAGAGGTCCAGGAGGGTGGGGGTGTCGGGCGAGGTGCGGACCTGGTGGGGGGTTCGGGGTTGTTTTTTTTGGCCGAGGATTGCCGGGTGGGGGGTACCAAGGTCAGAGGTTCCAGACGGTAGGGTGTCGGGCGGGGTGAAGACTTGGTGGGGGGTCGGGGTCGGTTCTGGGCCAGGAATTGTCTGGCGGGGGGTTCCAAGGACAGCAGGTCCAAGAGGGTGGGGGTGTCTGGCGAGGTGGGGACCTGGTGGGGGGTTGGGGGTCGGTTCTGGGCCAGAAGTTGCTGGGCGGGGGGCTTCACAAAGAGAAGTCGAGAGGGTGGGGGTGCCGAAACGAGGTGGTGACTGGGTGGGGGATCGGGGTCGGTTCTGGGTCAAGAATTGTCGGGCGGGGAGTCCCAAGCACAGAGATCCAGAGGGTGGGGGTGCCCAGGCGATGTGGTGACCAGGTGGAGGGGCAGAATCCGGTCCATGCCAGGGTGGGTGGTCCCGAACATAGAAATCCAGAGGGGGGCGTGCCGAGGCGGGGTGGTGACCAGGGGGGGGTGAGGGTCGGGTCTGGGCCAGGAGTTGTCGGGTGTGCGGTCCCAAGTACAGAAGTCCGGAGGGTGGGTGCCGAGGCGAGGGGGTGACCAGGTGGGGGGCCAGGGTCGGTTCGAGACTAGGAAATGTTGGTTGGGGGGTCCCAAGAACAGAGGACCAGAGGGGAGGGGTGCCGAGGCGAGGTGGTGACTAGTCGGTCGGGGGGTCAGGGTCGGGTCCGGGCGGGAAGCTGTTGGGTTGGCCCCTCGAAGACCAGAGGTGGAGGCGAGGTGGCGGTTCCGCGCCGAGGGTCAGAACTGGGGGTGCCAGACGCCCCCTGGTGTCGGCGGAGACAGAGCAAGGTGGAGACGGGATCGACGGAACACGAAAGAATGGGGCGCGCTTGGGAACGTAGTGCCTGGTCGAGCCCCTGGGGTCGGCGGATTGTTGGTCGGGGGGGGGGGCGCAAGAATAGCATCCTGGGAGGCGGGGGTGCCGAGGCCAGGTGGTGACTAGATGGTGGCCAGGTGGTGGCCAGGGTGGGGGCTCCGGCTGAAAATTGTCGGGCTGGGGGCCCGAGAACATGATCCAGAGGGGCGGGGGTGCCGAGGCCGCCGAGGCCAGAAGTCGCCGGGTGGGGGGGCGAGCTGGGTTGGGGCCGAGAAGTGTCGGGTGGGCGGGGGGGGGTGGGGGGCAAGAACAGGATCCAGATGGTCGAAGATTGTCGGGTGGGTGGCCCCGCAAGCAGAATTCAGAGGGGTGGGGCCACTGCGGCCACGTGGTGACCAGGTGGTGGCTAGGTGGGGGCCAGGTGGGGTGGCCACAGTGGGTTCCGACCCAACAGTGTTCGGGCGGGGGGCGGGAACACAGGATCCAGAGGAGGGGGGGTGCCGAGGCCATGCGGTGACCGGGTGCTGGCTAGGTGGAGGACCAAGGTGGGTTCTTGGCAAAACGTTCGGGTGGGGGGTCCACGAGCAGGGTCCAGATGGGTGCGGGTGCCGAGGCCAGGCGGCGACAAGATGGTGGCCAGTTGAAGGATGGGAGGGGGGCGAGGTGGATGCATGTCCGAAAGTTGTCGGGTGGGGGCGTCCACGAACAGGGTCCAGATGGGTGGCGGTGCCGAGGCCAGGCGGCGACAAGGTGGTGGCCAGTCGGGGGAGGGGAGGGGGGGACGAGGTGGATGCAGATCCGAAAATTGTCGGGCGGGTGGGCGGGGGGCGATGACAGGGATCAGAGGGTTGGGGTGCTGAGACCAGGCGATGACCAGGTGGTTGCCACGTGGAGGCAGGTGACCACATGGTGGCCAAGTAGAGGCCAGGTGCATCGGCGTTTTGGGTTCTGGTTCGCAATTACGTGCCAGATGGGTGGTGGGTGGGTGGGTGGGGGGGCGGGGAGGGGTGTAGAGGGGGGGCAAAGAAGAATAATAAGAATAATAATATTAATAATGAGAAGAAGCATACTAATAATAATGATATTAATAATACGAATAACAAGAATACTAATCATAAGAATAACCATAAGAATACTACTACGAAAAAGAATAACAATAATAATACTAAAAATGATAAGAACAATAATATTACTGATAATAATACTACTACTAATCATAATAATAATAAGACTACTAATACTAAAGACACTAATAGTACTAATAATACTGCTAATACTAGTACTACTAATAATAAGAATAATACTAATCATAATAATAACAATGTTAATGCTACTGATAATTGTAATGGTAATGATAATGATAATGATAATGATAATGATAATGATACTGATAATGCTATTGATAATGATAACGATTATGATAATGATAATACTAATACTAATAACACTAATAGTAATGATGATAATAATACTAATAATACTAATAATAATAGTAATAATAATAATATTAATACTACTAATAATACTACTACTAATAATAATCATACTAATAATAATCATACTAATAATACGAATAATAATACTAATGATAATAATAATAATAATAATAATAATAGTAATAATAATACTACTAATAATACTACTAATAATAATAAAATCAGTAATATAATAATAATAATAATAAGAATAAGAAGAATAAGAAGAAGAAGGATAGTAATAATAAGAAGAAGAAGAAGGAGAAGAAGAACAATATTCCGAGGGGTGGGAGTGCCGGGGCCAGGTGGTGGTGAATTGGTGGCCGGGCAGAGGCCAGGTGGGGGGGCGAGGTAGGCGCCTGGCCGGAAAAGACGGTTTGGAGGTCCAAGAGCAGGATCCATTGCATTGGGGGTGCCGAGGCCAGGTGGTGAACGGGTGGTGGCCAGGTGGGGGCCAGGCGGACGGGGGGCCGAGGCTGGTTCCCGTGCCAAAACTGTCCGGCGGGGGGGCCCGAGCACAGGATCGAGAGGGGTGGAGTGCGGAAACCAGGTGGTGGCCAGGTGGGGCACGGGCGGGGTGGCGGGGTGGCTTCGGGCCAAGAATTCTCAGGGAGGGGTCCAGAGCACGATTCAGAGAGGCGTGGGTGCCAAGGCGGGGTGGTGACCAGATGGTGGCCAGGTGGAGACTCGGCGTGCAGGCGAGGTGGAGTCCGGGCCGAAGATGATCAAGCGTGGGGGCCCGAGACCAGGATCCAGAGCGGCGGGGGTTGGCTGGGTGGAGGCCAGGTGGGGTGGGGGGGGGCGAGGTGGGATCTGGGCTGAGGATTATTGAGTATGAGGGTTCCAGAAAAGGATCCAGAGGGGTGGGGGTGCTGAGGCCGGGTGGCGTCCAGGTCGAGGTCAGGAACAGGACCTAGATGGGTGGGGGTGCCAAGGAGCTGGTGACTAGGCGGCGGCCAGGTTGAGGCCAGCAGTTGAGTGGCCGAGGTGGATTCTGGGCCGAGAAGAGTCGGGTGGAGAGGTCCAAAAACGAATCCCAAGGGTGCGGGTGCCGAGGTCAGGAGGTGAATAGGTGGTGGCCAGGTGGAAGCCAAGATGGGGGGCGAGGTGGTTTCCTGGTCGAAGCTCGTCGGACGGGGGGCCGAAGATGAGGAATCAGAGGTGTGCGGGCGCCGAGGCCAGGTGGTGTCGAGGCGAGGTAGCGGCCAGATGAAGACCGGGTGGAAGGGGCGACGTGGGTTCTGAACCGACACTTGGCAGGTGTGTTGATCCAGTAGCATGGTCAAGCAGGGTGGGTGGGCCGAGGCCAGGTGGTGACCAGGTGGTGGCCACGTGGAAGCCGAGAGGGGGGGGCGCGGTGGTTTCCGGGTCGAAGATCGTCGGGCAGGGGGGCCCAAGAGCAGGAGTCAGGGGTGCGCGGGTGCCGAGGGCTGGCGGTGACGAGGTGGTGGCCAGGTGAAGGCCGGGTGGAGGGGCGAGGCGGGTTCCGGCGAGGTGGGTCCCGGCAAGGCTCCAGATGGGTCGGGGTGCCGAGGCCAGGTGGGGACCGGGTGGTGACCAGGTGAAGGCCAAGTGGGGTGGGGGCCAGGCGGGTTCCGGGCGGAAGAGTGGCGGGAGGGGGAGGGGTGGGGAGGGGGGAGGGGGGCCAAAGCTGGATCCAGCCGTGGTGGGGGTGCCGAGGCCAGGTGGGGACCAGGTGGTGGCCAGTTGGGGCGCCACGTGGGGGGGCGAGGTGGTGGGGCCCAAGAGCAGGATCCAGAGGAGTGTGGGTGCCGAGGCCAGGTGTAATCAGACGGTGGCCAGGTAGGGGTTTGTGGGGGGGGGGCGCGGTCCGCGGTGGTTTCCGGGCCAAGAATTGTCAGATGGAAGGGCCCAAGAACAAGATCCAGGAGTCGATGGGGGTGGGGGTGCCGAGGCCACGCACCGGGGCCACGTGATGGCCAGGTTGGATGGCGAGGTGGGTGTTGCGTGGTGGGTGAGCGGGGGGAAGGGGCAAGACTAGGATCCGGAGAGGTGGGGCCTGGGTAAAGAGCCACGGGTGTGACCAGGTGGTGGCGGGTGGCGGGGTCCCACGAATAGGATCCAGAGGGGTGGTGGGGTTGCCGACGCCACGTGGTGACCGGACAGTGGCCAGGTGGAGGCCAGGTGGGGGCGAAGTGGTTTCCGGGCCGAAAATTGCCGCGAGGGCGGGGGGGGACGCAAAACGAGTATCCAGAGTTTGGGGGTACCGGGGTACCGAGACCAAGTGATGACCAGGTGGTGGCCAGGAGTGGGCCATGCGGTGGGACGGGGTGGGTTCTGGGCCGAAAATTGTCGGGTGGGGGGGCAAGACCAAATCCATATGGGTGGGGGTGCCGAGGCCAGCTGGTGACAAGGTAGTG